GGGGGGGGGATCAAACTAATCGGATTAGAAAACGGCACTCGGTCGGTTTGCCAGTTGGATTTGAAACCGTATCTGTCCTTCAGGACGTCCGCGTGCGCAGACAAAAAGACACGAAGGTGGTGCTGCAGCGATCACGAATCTGGGTCAGTCGCGACGCATTACGGAGGGGTTTTAGACTCCACGTTCAACTCCTTGTGTTCAATGGCAGCCAGGCTGTCGTTTCCGTGATGCGCTTTTAGGGGACGACTGCGTTGCCAATCAGCTTGACGTGCGAGTTACATCTGATTGCTCGTAATAAGACGGTATATGTAATAACATAACGCCGCGACGGAGGCACGTTTGCGTTTCTTACGGTGATGTGTCATCCCTCTTCCGTGAAATACCGTGGACACAAGTGCCTCAAGTATTCGAGTAAATTACTAAAAACAACTATAGCACACACTCAATATTTGACATAAATGTTAAGATTAAATATAGATGAATTCATTCTGGAATGAGTCTCCTAAAAATATAGAGTACAGTCAATCAGATGACATAAAATTATAACCAGAGTATGATTTAACGAAAAATTAGAAGACATAATTGAGACAAAATTAAAGAACCAACAAAGCTCTTCTTGAGTGATCGTTGATATTTTGGGAAAACGTGTGCTAAAATTGGTGCTCCCACGCGATCCATACAACGATAATCAAACTCATCGTCGTGCTTTGATAAGGATTATTATTAAAACGATGTTTGCATTATTCGCGGCGTGTCGGATAAACAATTCAGATGATACCGAAGCGCGCGGCACGAAACCGTAACGACTTTTAATAATCTCCCATGTATCGATCAGCGAGTCTATCGCACCGTGCCATTTTTACGGTTGAAGCTGTGCATATGCGGAACGCGTTATTTTCCATTCGTCGATTCCTCGCCGGATGAGACCGCGTTGCGAAACCACAGGCGGTCTTACACATGTACACCGTGTACGCGTCGCGTCCCTTTCGAAGTCTACTGCAAAGGTAGACTGAAAATAAACGTTTTCGCGCCGGTAACACTGCCGCGTTGAAGCAAGAATGCGAGGCCGGCTTTACGCTTTACGCTAGATGTGGACGGTCCACGACGCGTGCATCGCCGTGAAATTTTGCTTCGACACGTTTTAACTTGAAATTGCTGCAAATCATCGAGTCATCAAGTTTATCAGCTGATGCACTAGAGTCTGAAAGTGATTTATCATGATTATAGGATAACAGCGGAAATTACAACAAATTGCTTGTAATGTGCATTTTTTAGAAATATAAGATTAGAAAGATTAGAAAGATGTTTATATTGTATTCTAAAAAAAGATAAAAGATAAGTTTGCAACATTATTGATTCTAGAAAAAATTAGCGCTGAAATTATTAATAACATGTTTATCATAAATATGGAGATAACTAATAGCAATAAGGAAATGCCATTTTTTAATACTTAAAATA